ATGCCTACGAATCTCATTCCAGGTAGCCCCGGCAAGCTTTCACCAGTACAGGCCAAAGCGCCACCCCAAGACCTGCCTGCATCAAACCGGGCGTCACCTCCTAGTCGCGAGGGCCAAGAGCCGCCACATAGCGTCCAACCCCCCAAGTTTTCTCTTCGCAATATTGCGAACCAAGTTGGCAATACCGCATTTTCTGAATTCAAAGAGTACAATACACAATACCAGAGTCCTATCAAGCTCGCAGCAGAGGAGGTTAAGCCGTTGATAGAAACATCGCTAGCAGAATGGATTCGGGCTGCGGTCTGGTGGTTTCTACGAGGAAAGACACGGTTGGAAGCGTATGCCCGATCCCGTTCGACACTGCCACCTACCTACGCCAAGCAAGCTGTGATTGATCTTGGAAAGGCATTATGGATAAATGAAAATATTGTGCCCAGTCATCATGAACTCTCTCGATACGGTGCTATGGGCGTTGACGCCCTACTGGCCGTTGCGAGTACCACCGGCGACAAGGATTTGGCTGATCTTTTGAGTATACATCACACTCTGATAAATCATCTCCGGTCGCTGTCCATGTCCATCAAACGAAACAACATCCTCGCCATGATTACCTCGGACGATGGCTCTCCCAGCCAGCTGGATACTAGTATCTGGCTGCGTTATCCCTTCTATGCGCCCGATGTCTCAGCAGTCTTATCTGGTGCGGCAACGAGATCAATGCTGGTAGATAATGCAGGCAAGACACCAAGTTTGGTCCATATGATGCCTTTGGGTGACACAAGTCGATACTTCAGCTATGGTAGCATGTTCGTGCAGGTCTGTGTCAGCTCCAGTGATGATGATGGCCAACAGCAATATGCCATGCCCTGCGCCTTGACCATCGTACGCGAACGAGCGGATTGGTATGTCTTTGCGGCCATCACTAGCCAAAGTCAACTTGTCAACATTTTGATCCAGTCCGATCGCAAGCAGGGTCCGACTTGGGAGGATGTGGAATGGCAAGTCCGGTCCCATTCTATGCGAGTCAAGCTTCCCCGAGGATTCGAGTTGGATGTCCTGTTCAAGGAAGACGATTTCAAGACCCTTTGGAATATCGTCAAATACACCCAGAAGTCGGAGAACAGTCTCCACCCAGAGGCAGGTGAGACTGTGGTATTTGAGAATACTATCAAAATTTTCCAATATATGGATCCCGGCACACCAAAGGCGTTTCCTCCAGACCCTACAGAAAGATGTCGAGTCCGTTTGTTCGAGCGATCTGTCACCGTGACAGAAGGCACTGGTACTCGCAATGCGCATCGGGGATTCCGAATAGCTATTCTGACCAGCCCAAAGGTCAAGACTCTGAGCAGCATTCGCCATATTTTGGGCAACGGCTCACCGATAGTGTTCGGTCTCTTGCGGGGAGAGGATGGTGCTCCCGCTCTTCTCCTCAAAGTGACCGAGGACGGCCGTACGAGATCTATGTTGATGACTTTCCACGAGGCAGCTGAGCGTTCAAAAATGCACTCCGTGCTACTCGGCATGCTTCCACAAGAGGGAGAGATCAAGTCGCCCGAATTCGCCATCCAGTCTTATTGCATTGAGCAGCCCGAAGATCCATTCACCGGTCAGCCCGCGGTCAAATACCTTCAGTTCCCCGCGGGAAGCGTATCTGTTCTTGATCAGGAGCATGCTTACGTCGACCATGGTTATGGACCGACAATCCTATCGGAGCATTTGAGGGCCTTCGTCGCTACTGAATGGGGCTCTGTCACGGATCGTATCAACTTAGGTGGGCTCTCTCTATCTCCTCGCTCCGCAACGGGTTGCTAATTCTATCTAGGACCTGGCGAACTCAAAATTGGCTTGGATGTCCAGAGCAAGACGAGCATGAGCTTGTTCCGCTCCGGGCAGCAGGATCTGACCCTTTCGCTTGCAGATAATCTCATTCGCCCTGAACTGCCAGGGCAATTAACCGGCTTCCTTGAGAAGATCAAGACAAAGCCTACGATCCGCCGGTTGGACTTCCCCACCATGCAAGGTATGTCTACTTCTGACATTTCTGTTTGCTTTTGCTAATTATATTCTAGATCTTCATGCTTTCGAGGCAGCTGTTACTGGCTTCCAGGTGCTTTATGATGGGTGAGTTCCATCTAGCCCTTTGGTTGAGATTTTGCTGACCAAACTAGTATGGCTACATCGTTCACCATCTCCCGCCGACGGAGTATGGTTCCGATTTACAAGAAATGGGAAGCTTCCCTGGCCCGAATTCAGATCGTTCGACAAGAGAAAGTCATTCAAATGCTTGCTTTCTTTGGGGACTTCCACCATGGCACATGTATGAACTTTGTTCTTAAGGGTACTGATATCATGCAGTCCTTCACCCGGTCCGGCAAGTTCGGAATCCGTATGGTAGATGCCAAGTTCGCACTGCCTAAGAAGGATGATAACCCAGCTTCCAACTTTGTGTGCCTCGACATGCCCGAGTATCCCATCGAACACGACGACCTCGCCATTGCGTTTGATACAGAGGCTGGTGAGTTGTATCTCTGGCTTGTACTGTTCTTTTGCTAACTTTGTTCGATAGCACGTGCAACCTTCAAGGCAGCTCTTCCTGGATCAGTGCGAGAACCATCCCGCATGGGCTCCATCCGTCGATAATCCATTTGTTCTCCCCGTGATTTCTCCAACACGTGACCCATTACGTGATTTCCCCCTCTTCCCCCACCCTCGAGATCGGTGTATTATAACTTTGCTTGACGAACCCTTTTTCTGTGCATACAATTCAAGAACCAAACATAGCATCTTTTATCATGTCCCATTCTAGCGAAGCCATTGGCGCCTCCACGCGCTCCTTGCATGCTGATGATGCCTTGAACCTCGTTACTGATGTTGCTCCTCCTATGCATCTCTCTACTACATTTCGGTATTCCAATGATCCAACCCAGCTAGTACCGGCTGCCGATGCTACTCCTGTATGCACGTTGACTCGCTGTTCTCTAACTCATCGCCTAACACATATCCAATGTAGTCCGACTTCGATCCAACCTCCCACATCTACTCGCGCATGTCCGCACCAAATACTACTCGCTTTGAAACAATCCTGTCCTCCCTCCTATACGGCCAAGTTATAAGCTACAGCTCTGGCCTATCAGCCCTGCACGGTGCTCTCACCCTCCTCAACCCCCGCCGTATCTCCATCGGCGATGGTTACCACGGCTGCCACGGCGTCATCGCGCTCTTCACCCGCCTAACAGGTCTCCAAAAACTCCCCCTCGACTGCCAGCCCGACCAACTCGAAAAAGGCGACGTAATTCTCCTCGAAACACCGGTCAACCCCCAAGGTACCGCCTTCGACATTGCCTCCTATGCCGCTAAAGCCCACGCCCGCGGCGCATACCTTATTGTCGACAGCACCTTCGCCCCACCAGGCCTCCAAGAGCCATTCCAGTTCGGTGCGGATATTGTCATGCACTCAGGCACCAAGTACTTTGGCGGCCACAGTGATATGTTGTGCGGTGTCCTCGCCACGAACCGCGACGACTGGGCCGCACAGCTCAAATCCGACCGTCTCTTTATCGGAACTGTCATGGGTAGCATGGAGGGGTGGCTTGGCGTCCGAAGTCTGCGCACATTGGAGGTCCGCGTCCAGCGTCAGAGTGAGAATGCCGCCCGTCTTATTTCCTGGCTTGATGCTGCTCTTCATGCGCCTAATCCCGCGCCTGGCAGCGACGAGGCGGCTGTGCAAGCTGTTCTCAGTGAGGTCCTCCATGCTAGTCTACAGAAAGTCGAGAGCGATTGGTTGAAAAAGCAGATGCCTAATGGGTTCGGGCCTGTTTTCTCTATTATTATGAAGGAGATGCGCTTTGCTCGTGAATTACCGAGTAAACTGCATTTCTTCCAGCATGCTACTAGTCTGGGTGGTGTTGAGACGCTTATTGAGTGGAGGACCATGACGGATGCGACGGTTGATCGGAGGTTGCTGAGGATTAGCATTGGATTGGAGAATTGGGAGGATTTGAAGGCCGATTTGGCGAGGGCATTTCGTGAGCTTGCGAAGTAGATAGATTTGAAGATTTAGATGTAGTATGAACTGCTTAGAATGCATGACTGGTTCTTACTTATAGATTGAGTGTTATTTAGTTACCCCGCATTGGGCAGGATGACCAATGAACTCTTATCTGCCTATCCAACTAACCTCTTCAACACCTGTCACTCTCAATCATAACCTCTCTCCCACTGTCATTTCAGTCAATTCGCCCCCTCAACCATGTCGGAAACATTCACAATCCACTACTTCGCAACAGCATCCCAATACACCTCCAAAAACACAGAATCGCTCCCCGCGCCCCTGAAACTGTCCGCTTTATTTGGCGAATTGGAACAGCGATACCCTGGAATTGTTCACAAGGTCCTGTCTACTTGTGGTGTTAGTTTGAACGGGGACTATGTTGATGTCGAGGAAGATGGGGAGGTTGTTATTCAGGCTGGGAGTGAAGTCGCTGTTATTCCGCCTGTGAGTTCGGGGTAGAGACGGGACTTTTGCCCCTAGGCATATAGCAAAGTTGGCAGAACAGTTTCCCGTGCATCCCTCGAGAAGAAGGCCATGTATCCGTCTATCAGCCCTCGGGGCAGGGTGGCGATCATGGGAGAATGATTGAGGCTCCACCCAGAGGAGACTTTGGTGAAAGCAACCGGAATCGATACACCCCCTCATTATTTGTATCGCCCTCGTTCCGTGAAGGCGAAAAAGAAAGAAAAAAGAAAGAAAACCGAATACACAATATGACAAACTTCATTACTGGACATGCCATCCACATTTAATTCTACGAGTACCTCCGTTGGTAGCTTGAAATACTTACTGTTATATAGTGCTGCAGCACCGTTGCAGCACCAGCAAAATTGAATGTTATTATTACCTCCTTCCGTCGTACTATATTTCTGTCACCATCTCAAAACCTCACAGATAGATCCCTATATATCATTTTCCAGCGTCGCCTCCAAATCCTAACCATCCATTACTCCATACTCTTCACCGCAAGAGCCTTCTTCTTCTGTAGCCACAAACAAACATTGCAAATAACAGAGAAGAAAAAGAGAATACTACAACACCAATCCAAAGTCAGCAAAGCTCCAACAACGGCCAAAATAAATAGAAACCCAGAAAGAAGAAGAAAAAATCTCACCAAAGTCCAATACTCAACCCCCAAATAGCCTTCGTCTCAATGCAAATCGCCTTTGAAGCCCCAATCCACGAAACATAATCAATCTTCCCACTAACACTAGCAATATAACTCGAAAGTCTCGACGCAAACGCATACAACGTAGCATCCTTATCTCCCAGCTCCGCTAGCGTCGTACACTTCAGGTACGAGAGTGGTTTGCCGACGATAACAGTGACGACAATCAGTGCGATTAGCAGCAGACTGTCTAGCACGGCACAGGCTAGGAACGGGAGGATGTCGTCTGTGTAGAGGATCGCGGTGATTATGCAGTAGATTGCTGCGATGCAGGTCTGTGGGTTGGTTGTTAGTGGATTTCTAGAGAGGGTTTAGAGTGTAGACGAGGTTAGACCTACCACACTGATCGTTCCGATTAGGATATTTGGGGGTGTGGCATTGTTGTTTACTAGCACACTGATGAACTTTGCTGTCATGCCAATTATGGCAATTAGGGAGCAGACTTGGAAGAGGCGGGATAGTTGGAAAGTTGCGCCGAGGGCACCGTATTGGGGAGACATCTTGGTGATTGAAATGAGTTGGAATGGGCTGATTAGAATAATGAATGGAATTGGATAATTGGCCGGGCTGGTTGTGTATTCGCCGATGTATCGAGAGTCGGATGAGTGGGATAGTATCCAAGCAACGAGGCAGATATGTATGAAACGAAAGGCTTTGAAAGTCTAGAAGAGAGCAGAAAAAAGGCTCAAGAACAAAGGAAGTATACTCTGAAAGAAAGTGAAGAGAAAGTGAAACTGATTGTTAGATTGAAGAACAGGCTGGTTTCGCTCTTTATATAGACATCAAGAAAGGTCTCTCAATGACATCAATTGTCCGAAGTCTAGACCAGATTAAATTAGCAACAGATCTAGAATCTCTTCAAGCCAGGCTATGTCTTTGTGTGTTACATATTGGAGAAGCGCCGTACTCAATTGGGTGACTTGTCTTTCATCGAGCCCTCTACCGGATACAGCGATCGGCATGGATATTAGCTTGAGGTAGTACGAGATCCCATAGCTTTTTGCTAAAGACAATACCCCATTGGAAGGATAATTATAATTATAATATAATATACAATATAGGTCCGATTGACGAATCCACCCTGGCGCTTGGGAGGAAACCCTAACTCGCCGCGGGTCGCTCTCAGCCACTCGTTCCCTGGGCGTCTCCGGATCTGAAGCAGGCGCCTACATTTGATCTAATTATTGACTAGGGTGGAAAATGCACAGTAGATCAAGTTTCAGGGCAATGCATCTAGCCTTACTATGTTTATTTTCCGATTGGAGCTGCTTGGCAGGGGTTTTAGTATAGAGCCACGGGAAGTATACCCCATACCAGAATATATCGTGTGGAGCTAATGCATCTACTCCCCAACACGTTTCTCTTGTGTCATAATTAAAACCAATTGGTTAACTTAGTCTTCGTAAATACAATTATAGACGAGATAAATATATCCAATGTGCCTAGGCCCAGACAGTCTTGACGTCTAGTCCTTCAGCCTCCAGCCTCCACTCGTCCGCTTTTGGAAGAATTCCTGGGGATCATACGCCTTCCTCGTCTTCAGAGCAAGCGCCATGGACTCGGGGCTAATACGGCCCCAGTAATCCTGGCGGTAGTATGCGTCGTTCATAAACAATGGTCGATACACGTCGGGAAGAAGACCGTTGTCGATGTTCTTCTGGGCCAGGTTGTCCATTCCCTGGTAGAGTTCGACCGTGGCTGCGTCGACCTTGCTGTCGTCGATGGATAGCCCATAGGAGAAGCCAAGTTCCAGGATAATGTACGGTTGATCGGAGGGAATATCGAGGAGGTCCTAGGGATTTGTCAGTAATATGATCGTCCTTGTTCTTCTATTGGGAATAAAATTCGTACTCCACCCCGGTCCTTAGCCTTTTGGGAAAATGTCTTGGGCATGGGCTGGAAGGAAACTGTGCCTATTATCCCGGTTACTCCTAGTACGGACCCGGTAACGTCGCGGAAATGCTCATAGTACTCCTGGAGCGGGGCTGCTCCCACGGTCTTATTAGGAAGAGGCGTGGTCTCGGTAGCGATGTTATAGCGTTGCCCCCTAGTAAGTATTTAGCAAACAATCCAAGTATTGAAGCTGCTCGTCTTACTTAAGAATGAAGAAGTCGTTGTTCTTGAGCAGGTCGTAGTAAGTATCCCAGGTTTTGGCGGTTGAGGTGTGTTCAATAGCAGTGAACCCGTCGAAGACTCCGGAGGGGGGGCTCAGGGCCGTCGTAAAAGAGAAACAAGATACACAGGTCAACTACGAGACCGCGCTCGAATGTCAGGATTATTGCCGCCTTGTCGTCGGGATACTCGTCGGTGAAGTTGCGCACTACTGTGAGAATATCGGCGGCTTTGTCGGATGTGTAAACATAATTGCCACCCCAGACCTTATGGTCTTGAGGATGTGTCTGCACGGTGTATGCAGTAACAACACCGAAGTTGTTGCCGCCTCCTTTCAAGCTTTTGAAGAGGTCTATCAAGCGTTAGTGTTTCGGCGTTGATACGGAGTATAGTGTCACCCACCTGGGTTTTCGGTTTCAGTTGCGTGAACAATAGTGCCATTGGCCAGGACAACTTCGAAGTCCTTGACATTGTTCGCAGCCCAGCCGTATTGGGTGCTCAAGAAACTCATACCGCCTGCAAATCATTGGAGATAGACTCGGTGTTGATTTCTGATCCACATACCTCCGAGCATATATCCACCGACCCCAACTCCTCCCATTCGACCTCCAACAATAGCCCGACCAGTTCCCGCGAGACCCTTCTGGGCTTCTTCCCATGAAAGCCCAGGACCGATAACAACAGTCTGATCCGTGGGGTTATAGTCAACCTGATCTAGATTCTTAGTCGAAACCAGCAATCCGTCCTGGAAACTAGAAAATCCATTGTTGGGATTATGGCCTCCGCTCTTGATGGCACTGTTTAGGGTTAGCGGACATCTTTACTGTTGGTGCAAGGAGAGAACAAACAAGAGAGTATCCACGTCGTACAGGTTCTTGATTACCTGCGCCATCTCCGCTGCACTGGATGGAGCTGCAATACATGTTGGCTTGAGATCGCCGCATGCCGCGGACCAATACTCGGTCAGGTCGGTGTTGTAGGCCAATGAAATACGGTCTTCGATATCAATGCCCCCGGCCTTGAGTGTCGCGCAGATATCTGCCATTGTCCGAGGGACAAAAGCTAGGAACAGCGCCAGAACGTGCCATCTGTTGCTTGAGAGCATGTTGTCAAAGGAGAGTAGACAATATAGCAAATATAGTATTGTAGGAATAAATAGAAGAAAGGAATATTAATCCGAAGCAGGGACTGGAACGGATGACGACCGAGAACCTAACCTAGATATTCTTGAAGCCACTGCCACACCCCTCTTGAACGGTGGACCCGACAGGAACAGAAACCAAGCCACAAAATCCAAGAGAAGAATGCTCGGCAGAAGCATTGTTGAGAGATTCCATTCCATTCAGGCCGGAGTCGGCCACGCGAGTCTAGATTGAGCAGGTGCCCCTGCTTATCGACCCGAAAGAGCTCATAAATTGAATGTCGTGACGAGTTCCCTACTGTGCTTGGAGGCTGCAGCTGCAGCTGCGGAGTGGAAGGACATGGCAGGGGAACGGATGCTCTGTCGTCCGAGTCAATTGTTTCTACGCTCTTCGTATACCCGAATACCTCTATCTGCCGATCTTGACATATGCACATGCCAGATGCCAGATAGGGCCAGGACATGCAGCAGTGGGTCCCAATCGGGCAACTTCCTTGTCGTCGGCTAAACCTGCGTGTGGGAAGGCAATGACCTTGTCCAATTCTCGGCCCTAGTGATCGGCAGATCACCCTGAGAGTTTGGCTTTGTCGAAACAGGTATTCCGTACCATCTTGGGCAACGAACGGGGCTTCACTGGTTGGCAGTAGTGGCATCAACCCAATCAGCCATAACAGATAGAACAAAGTATATAATCGGTTGGCGTTATTCACACAATCGAGAAAACAAAAATTAATCCTCAAAATCAAGTGAGACAAAAGATCCAAAAGTGGAACCCGCCAAAACTCGCGGGGATTGCCCCTGGCCCTGGCATGCTGAATCCCGATCGATTTTTGGAGATCGATTTTGTGTCAGGTCTCGCTTAATCTAATCAAGAAATAATACTCATGCTAAGCGTTTGGTGAATTTGACTTGCGCTCCATAAGAAAGCCCTGTCGACTTATATGAAGGTGGACGGGGTTGACGACAACGAATACGTTTTGTCTCGGCCAATTTGCGATCTTGGGCGATCTTTTCGGTCAGAGGAAAAATGATACGATATCGTCGGGGATTTGGATGTCCTCGGGGGCTACTGTCTATGCGATGGCCTATCTGTGAGATTATAGTTTGTATTTTATGGCCTAGAGAGAATGCGTGCCATCGATTAATATCGATGTGCTCTTACTAGCTGCAACTCAATCTAAATAATCTAATTATGAGACTATTCATCCAGTGAGCTTCTTTGGTATAAACATAATTCTATACTTCTATGTTGCAATGTGATTGGTCGACCAAAATCACGGGACAATTTTTATACCGCCTATGGCGGTATAGCACCTGCCGGCAGAATATACTTAGTTTTCGAGCCACCGGCGCATTCATTATGCGCAAGCTCTGGCAATGGCACTTACAAGAATAAGGGCTTTGCAGAAGCTGACTGGTGCAAATTTGTCACCTGTGCTCTGCACATGGCGACACAACCGCGCAGAATGTGCGTCGATCGCATCCGCCACTCATCTTCCGGTGTTGTCTGGGAGGCGACGCTTTTTGTCCACCACGAGAACATTGGGGTCAGCTGAAGCTGTTCCAACCAGTAGTGAAGTGTGTCATACTAAAGAAGATTTTGCTATTCACCGCTAATCTTTCTTCTATCCCAGCAGAAAACAGCTGATCCAGACGAGCCGCCCCCAAGAGTTCCTATCGATGGCAATATCCTCCTTCGGTCCCAATTCGAATTGCATGGAGACATTCGTGAGTACCTGAAGAAATGGCAGGATAGCAACCCCAATGATTTGGACCCGGTGCGCCGATCCGACTCCAAGAATCGGCCATTGGAAATACCTGGTAAATCGATTGGCACAATGCCTAACGGCCGAGACATAATCGATGCTTGGGGTGACCCGAACAGGTTTAACCAAGAGGCTATGGACAAAGATGAATTTGAAGGTGAACACCTCGAGCAGGGTGACTTAATCGCCCGCTTGAACGCGGACGGGGTGTTCAATTACGGAATCTACGTGCGGTCTGTTCACAAACAGAAACAGTTCTACAATGGCAACGGGAATTGGCGCATTTGCTCCAACACGGAGCTCGACTACGTTATCAAAGGATTTGCACCTACCGAACTTGTCGAGCCTCTCACGCCATGGTTCCCGGATAACGAGGCTATCGCATGTCAAGATATTCAACTGACCCCCGAGGGAGGTCTTCCAAGGCCACTGGGCGCTCCTCTTCTGAGGATGATGAGCAACTTCAAGACTCATGTTTTGAAATTCTATAGAGAAAATTCCCAAATACTGGATAATCTTCATGATAAGGTGGCAGACGATACCGAAGTTCTATGCTTGAGCCTTGAAAATTTGACAACAACTGCTCTTGGCATTGAGGAATCGGAGCTGACTAGTGTCAACATGTTTGCTGTCCATCAAGCTGTTCGCCGGCATCCTTTCCTCATCGAAAAAGATGGCAGCTCCTTGTTCAGCCGGATGTACATCGTGCAGCCAAAACGGATCGCCAATATTGTCAAACAGGTCGTTGACTGGACTCATGAACACCAAGAACATTGTGTTCGTGCCACAATGCGCAAAGACACGCAGGGGTCTAAAGACCACCCTATGAACCGGTTCATCACTAAAGCACAGCGGTTGATTCGCCTTAGCAGAAGGCTCCGCTCTCCGACTATTATGTCCAGCGTGGGACCATCCTCCAACAGGTATTCGCCTGGTCAGGATGGAAACCCGCTAGTGTTCCGAGAACTTCCTACCGAAAAATTTACTGCAGATGACCAAATGATCATTGAATATCTGCAGCTGTACTCGGTCCCTTCTATTGTCATGCCATCGGGCACTCTGAGATCAACAGCAACACATATCATGCGTGCCACGGGGATGTATAATACTCTTGGTCTGAGTGAGGCTTCAACCCGTCTTTTATTGCAGGAGATCGGCATCATAGCGCCTTGGGAGAACCTTTTACCCCTTGACCAGTATCTGATGCTTCCTGGACATGGGATATCCCTCGCAAGGGACATGGAGTGGGAAGAGATTGAGGACTCTTGCAGCAAGCTCACTGCCGATCAGTTGCAGGATTCTATGCAACACCTGAGAAAGGATTGGGGAGATCTACCAGTTTACTGTGTGGATGATGTGACGGCGCAGGAAATTGATGACGGTATATCGCTGGAGCCCATCCCAGGATCTCGTAACACATTCTGGGTGCATGTCCACGTTGCCAATCCGACAGCCTTTATTAAGAATGACAACCCTATCATTCAGTATGCAGCTTCACGACTCTTCACCACCTACATCCCGGAACGCACCTATCCCATGCTTCCCAAAGCTCTCACTGAACCCCACTTCAGTTTGGCGGCTGGTCGGCCGGTACTCACATTCAGTGCGAAGATGAATCTTCGAGGAGAGATCTTGGATAGTGAAATCAAAAACGGCACAATTCACAATGTCATCAACATCACTCACAAAACACTGCGCGACTTCTTCGACCCCGATTCTGAAGAACAGTTGGAATCATTCACCATCGGTGGCAAGTTCACCGAACCATCAATACCTGAGGGTAAAACTATCCAACAAGGCCTGCGGCCCGAGGACAAAGATAGATTCCACATCATGCGTCAACTCATGCTCGCATTCCGCCAGACCCGTCGAAAGAATGGTGCCATGGACCTCACTCCTCTTAGCCCAGATCTTTCTATCTCAGTCCAGTCAGGCGACGCCCCGATGCCGCCATACGATTTACAATCCACAACCGGACGCCACTATCTCGGTGACCCAGTCATCCGGCTCGATGTGCAATCCTATGATCCATACGACGTTCGCGACCAATCCCGGGACAATCTAGTCTCCCTGATCATGAATCTGGCCGGGCACATCTCCGGTCAATTCTGTGCCGCACGCAACATCCCCGTTGTCTACGACGGCACGTGGTACGACCCGGAGTACGGACGCGTGACCAACAAAAACTTGTCCAATTTCGGCGGTGAGGGTTTCTATGAGCTCAGCGTACCGTTGGCCTACTCTTCTACAGTCCCAACTAAGCATCACACCCTGGGCTTGGATACGTACGTCAAGAGCACCAGTCCGCTGCGCCGGTACACGGATGTTATTGCGCATTACCAGATCGAGGCAGCATTGCGTTTCGAGCATGAACACGGCCGTCAGTTTGACGCTCTTGTTGATAGTCCAGATTCTACAGAGATCGATCTAGTGGAGACGGACCTAGCAGAGACAGACCCAGCAGAGACCGATCTAGCAAAAGCCGATCTAGCAGAGACTCCCACTGAAATCACCACCAATGACACAAACACCATTCCCGCCTCTCTCCTCCCCTTCTCCAAATCTGACATCGACGCCCACCTTATCTACTCCCAACCCCTGCGCACACGTCTCAGAAACCTCGACAAATACTCCGCACAACATTGGGCTTGTATGCTCCTCTTCCGCGCATTCTACTTCTCCGAGTGCAATCTCCCCGTCACGTTCCCATGTCTGCTACGCACCCCGCGTACTAGGCCTAGACATTTGGACGAGGAGTATTCCGGCGTCATCACCAGTCTTGGCGTGAACTGCTCCGTCACCATTCCTCCGGATTTCCTAGATAAAGATAAGCTGGATATCTTCTGCACGGTCGAAGCTCATATCACGGCTGTCGATATGGCCTCTCTACAGGTGACTATGGAGGCGACTAGTTTTGTGAAGCCGTTCGAGAGGAAGGGTGAGTGGGCTTGAGTTTGGGTGACTTGTACAATACTGTATCATATACATCTCCTATAGGCATCGCCAATCTTTATATAATTGAAGGATTTCATGCCTTGGACATCGTTATTCAGCATTCACAGATACTTTCTGTTCAAGGGTTCATTAATCCGGCACCCTGGAGATTATGCTCCAGGTTCGTCGCCCCATCTTTCCTTTCCTGAATTGGGGTATCTTTCTTCGGCAGGTATGCATACAAAACCTCGGATGTCATAGCTCCGAATGTAGTAAAGCTGCCGTGCGATCAGCGAGTGGATTGATCGTCAAAAGAACGTCACTTACAATGCAATGAAACTGAATGCCTCGGCCGCATACTTCCGGCTACATACCATCTCGTGGTTCCAAAGGTGGATGCTGCAGCTGACCTGGTTGAAATCCTGAGCCAGAAAGATGAATGCAGTGAGCCAGCTAGATGGGAGAGCATTTGTTACCGGTATAAAAGAGTGCTTAATACTATCATGCTTACAGATAAGAAAGTACTGCATCCGTCAGAAGCAGAGGGAGAACCTGCCATCTGCGACGTCGGGTAAAGCAGCTGATGCCTAGTGTTATACCGTCGACGATTGGGGTGAGGACCGCCTGTAAGGATTTTAGAATCTCTACATATTAAGATAAGACCTTGGGGAAATATACCACCACCAAGGGAAATATCACTGTAAGGGTTTTCGTCTCGCGGGCTGCCCAGGCTGTGATCCCGAGGACGACAAATGAACTGATGCATTGGATGATATGAGCGATGGTTGAGATTAAACCACAGAGGGAGTTGAAGAAGCCCATGTTGATGATCAGGTATTAATTTATTGATTGCTTGAATTAGTGTGAAGTGTTCAGAGTTCCTTTTCGAGAGATTCGGGGTTTTCACCCTTTCCCCAGGGATGATATCACCACATGTGGCCAAAGTCAAAACTGGTCTCTCATTGGCAAAAGCCATTCTGACATCCACGAGTATCTATGGATTAATTATTATATGCTGTCAGACTGTACTCGCGACTTAAAAGTCAACTGGTCGATTCTCCACATCCGGCCGAGTATATTTTTCACCCTGGGGAACGTGTCTCTTGGTACGAACGGACGGCAGGAGATCAATGATGAAAGAAAAAACAAAGAATGCGAATATAAGAGCGGCAACTACTAAAGTTAGCTTTTCCTTGCACAATCTGACAGGGCTGAAAACTTACCCCATTCTAAAACAGCGGCGGCGTTCCTGTTTCTTCCGGCTCTTTTGCATACGCCAAATCCAATAGCGACAGCAACTTCACAGATGATGAAAAGAGCTTTGATGAAAAAGCTCACTAACAAAATCCGGGCTTGCGGATGGTAGAATCGGCCGATTTGGATGTATTCCATACACACCAGGAGGGCGCAGACCACGTAGCACGCTATGAACATAGCCAAAAACCCATCGTGAAGGTTTGAGTGATGCTTGGTGTCGAAGATGGACAGCAGAATGAGACCTACAGCCCCAGCGATCGAGAAAAGAATCGATCCAACAGCACAGATCTTGTCAAACCTCCCTTTGTTTCGGGCAAGTTGGCCGGCATGACGAAGCCAACGCTCAGAGATGAGACCGAGATCCATGAATACGACTGTTACTGCACTTCCCGCAATGAACAGCGGTTTGAGTCTCTCAGCCCCAATATGGGAAATGTAACTGATTGTTGAATTAACTTCGATGTTGCGCCGAGGGCCAGGTTCATTGATTAGACTCACGGAATTTTGAGCCCATCGGTCATGGTGGAATAAATTGGCTTTCCATCCGCCGCCCAGGTTGACAACATGGCTACCAGCATAGCTACAAGGCCATTAGTTAAAGTAAGCTTAATATCTCGTGTTCTGACTCTCACCAATCCACATGCACCCGGATACCAAGGGGAAGATCCAGAACGAGACAATCCACATGGCTTGTTACGCGACCCGTGGGGTGGGATCTTCAGGTGGAAAGACTATGTTGTCTGGGAAGAGCTTGTATTATGATTGTTTGCAAGGGACACTCCTTTGAACAATTTCGATGTAAATTGTCGCGCATGTGAAAATTCAAGGATCGCAAGCAAGGGGGGGAACGCCGGATCTACGCCTGGCAGTACAAATCCCCAAGAGCGTAGAAATGCAACCCCACAGATCCGAATTACCGAATTCAGACTGTCTATGTATGTAACTCCATGGCGAACAGCTTATATCTCGGAGTGTCCGCGACCGGATGCTGACATCAGCAGATTCGGAGCTTTTTTCAACCTCATTTTCGATTGAACAGGAAGTGATCTTGCTTTTTCAACGACTGTACATCCAGAAGCTGTGGAAATTTGTTCGGTAATTCTTCTCAATGGTTCTACCAATGCGTCAGCTAGAGGGATTTAAGCAATCGTTGAGTGGCGAAGCTTGGAAATATTCTAGGTCGATATATTCTCAGCGATGCTACGTTGAGAGGTGATCTCACCTAGCAAGGCCCATAAATCTTGACTTTGCACTGCAATGACTAGAGCTGCAGCACTGATGATCTCGCTCAACTGATTGTTTCAGGGGCCTCGGAAGAGCGAGGTCTAGCACCTGGGCAACCTTGCCATCAACGGCTAGAGGTCTGCTTGACTGACCCTCAAAAAGGTCCCACTGAGTCACTCATCAGTGTAGCTTTATACTACCGGTCCGAATAACCAAGTCGTAGGCTTCCTCAATCTCACTAAGTTGGGCTTCGGGATTGGGTCTTTGCAGGTCCTGAATTAAGGTATTAAGATATTAAAGAGACATGTGCCACATATTTCATGTCGAACGACTATCCCAGATGAAGGACGTGTGGACGTATTCTCAGAATATCATGGTTATTGTCACTTGTCTGATGAAGAGACCATATATCCCAGTCATGTGACCGGGGACTATGCTAACTAGCCACTTCGGGTATATCCACCGCTGGTCGCAATTTCAATCTTCCACCCTATTGATCTGTCATTTTTTCCTAAATTTTTTTGTTTAATTGATGAAAACAACATCTAAAAAGACATTCAAAAGAGTACTGAAATTCTACCATTCTCGTTAATTGAAATTGGTTTGTAGTTAGTGATAGATCAGGTGAGAATAGGTAAGCTCTTGAGAATTGCGGCTAGTGGGAGATATACCCGAAGTGGCTAGTTAGCATAAATTCCGATGACGTAGCCACGCAACTACACCCACTGCGACTATTCTTTGACAGTAAGTACGGTGTGAATATGTTTCATGTCTGTCAATTGAGCCACTGGATACGAACTTCAATAATGAATAAATAAAGTTACAAGTCTTCTTTGCTTCGACTTCCACGCCCTATCACAAGTCCGGAGTACAAGGTTGCAACGTACAACAAAGATGAGACTACGGTGTAAGAACATGATAAATACATGTTTTGGCCACAGTGATATCATTCCAGTTTATGCTGGTTGGCTATAGGATTACTAGGATGTGCTGAGTACAATACTGCCCAGGTGCATATAGTTGGCATGTTTCTTGGCAGAGCCTGAACCATGACGCAATTGTTTTGGATTTTGATATTTGGCGTTTAGATCAAGGATGATGGCCAGTTTAACATTCTTATGACAGTACACTGAGTTAAGTGGCTGACCATGTAGCTAATAGGAACTCCATAAGAAATCCATCCATGTACATCGTATCCGATAGAGGATCGTGGATCGTCGCACCTAAATTCGTGATACTTGTACACCATCACATTGAAACCACGAACGTCATAAATCATTACTCTAATGGTTGCCTAAGTATGTCTATGTACAAAGGAGATATAAATACCCTCTTCTTCTCCCAGTGAGATCAATTCTTACCTTCATCAACCATATCCAATATCTACTTGATAACAACTTCAACCAACTTCAACCAACTTCAACCAACTCAAAATGCAGTTTGTACGCAAGGCTGAAGAGGCCATTACTGGCAAGAAGAACGAGTCCCACGAGTCGACAAAGTCCTCCAACCATGGACCCCACTCGTCCAACTTGGCCAACAAGCTTGACCCCCGCGTCGACAGTGATAGAGGTTTGTCATTCACCTCACCTCACATCTCATATCCTTCAGAATTCAATACTAATAACTACCTCAGACAACCGTGCTGCCCATACCGATGTGACTGGCGCTGGTCTTGGAACAACCCATGACACAACCCACGGCACCACCGCAACAGGCACTCACGGCTCGACCCTGGGCTCTGGCACTACCCATGGCACCTCTGGTGTGACTGGCACCGGTGCCGGTATTGGGTCTAGTCACCCTACCACTGCTACTGGCACTCACGGCTCTGGTACTACATACGGCACCTCTGATGCGACTGGCACAGGTGCTGGTCTTGGATCTACCTACAATACCACAGGCAGCACCAATGCCGGCCCTCATAGCTCAAACATCGCGAACAAGGCCGATCCCCGAGTCGACTCTGACCGTGATAACCGTGCTCGCCACGAGGGCCTCATCGGCACTGGTCTTGGATCTACTCACACTACCACCGCTACTGGCCCCCACAGTTCTACACTGGGCTCTGGCACTACCCATGGCACTTCTGGTGTGACTGGCACCGGTGCCGGTCTTGGGTCTAGTCACCCTACCACTGCTACTGGCACTCACGGCTCTGGTACTACATACGGCACTTCTGGTGTGACTGGAACCGGCGCTGGTCTTGGATCTACTCACCCTACCACTGCTTCTGGCACTCACGGCTCTGCCCTGGGATCTGGCACTACCCATAGCACTGGTGCCGGTCTTGGGTCTACCCACCCTACCACCGCTACCGGCACACATGGCTCTGCCCTGGGTACTGACACTGGCGCTACCCACAGTGGTCCGATTCCTACCCCTGGCACCAGCAGCACAAATGCTGGACCCCACAGTTCCAACATTGCGAACAAGCTCGACCCCCGCGTTGACTCGGACCGTGACAGCTACCCTCAGCACCAGTCTCCTCTTGCTGGTACTGGGCCTGGTACTGTTACCCACGGCTCCCACACTCGCGATACTACCGCTCCCGGTGGCTCGGTGATTGGTGGATCGGGTCTTGGTACTACTGGTCATCAGGATGCTGTTGCTGGCAATAGCTACAATACTTCTAGCACTGGAACTACCACTGGTACCACTGGTCCTCACAGTTCGAGCATTGCCAACAAGCTCGATCCTCGTGTGGATTCGACCGCTACTCGCATTGAGAATGAGGATCACCGTAGAATCTAGGTGGATATTTGGAACTCTTTGGTTTTTATTTTGGCAGGCACAGGCCTTGATATGATGATATGAATTTGGGATTAAGAGCAAGCGATTTTGGTTATTTCCAATATAACAAATGATTTAATTCTTCATGTTCCAATGTTCTATTATGCAGATCGTTGTACATCTTTTCTCCGAGTAGATATACATAACCTACCTCAAACATATGTTTAGGTAGGCTCTCAATTTGTACAGTGTGTTCGACTTTCATGCACCAAACACCTCTTTCACCAGTGCCTTCTTATTGACCTTACCCATCGCATTCCTCGGAATAGCTTCCAAAACCTTCATCTCATGCGGGATCTTGAAAGGAGCAAGAGAATCCTTCAGCGCGCGCCGCATATCCAGCGGGCCCCAGGGTTGACCATTATGACCCGAAGTAGCTGCGTCGGGAGAAAGAACAACCACCGCGACAATCTTCTGGCCCCACTGTTCAGACGGGAGACCAACGACTGCAGCTTCGGTGATTTGGGGACTAAGCACCATCGTTAGTACAGATCTTTCAAGTGAACACCCGAAAGGAAAGTGACAACATACAGAGAAAGCAACTCCCTCTCAACCTCCAACGCGCTAACCTTCTCACCCCCAGTCTTGATGATATCAACACTCTTCCGCCCCTGGATGAAATATATCGGTCCCCGAGCCCAATCTCCGCTCGCTCCACTACCAGCTCCGTCAACAACTCGACGGATCGCGACATCGCCGGTGCAGAACCACGGTCGGCCTCCATCATCGCTCTGCACGAAACTCTCGCGCGTGGCTTTCTCGTTGTCCCAGTAATGGTCGAAGACTGTTTCACCGCGGATCTGGATCTCGCCTTGGCGTTCTGGGCCATTGGAATTCTTTTCTTCCGCTGGAATGACAGCACCGGTTTCGAGGTCGGCAAGTCGGGCTTCGACGCCTGGGAGCGGCCAGCCGACGCTGCCGTCGACCCGGTCTGCGACGTCGAGGCCGCAGCTAATCGCCATTCCGATTTCGGTCATGCCGAAGCGTTCGAGGAGGACGTTGCCGTTGCTGAGTTTTGTCCAAGCGGCTTTAGTCGGTGTTGGTAGGGCGGCCGAGCCGGAGATACTCAAGCGAAGGTTTTGTGGGGAGATTCCTTCTTTGGCGGCTTTTTGGTACTCTGGGGTTAGTTCCGGGAAGGTGGCCATGAGGCGGGTGTAGATTGTTGGGACGGCAGTTAAGAATGTGATGGGTGATCTTGAGCTGTTGGATGGGAGGAAGGGTGCTGCTAGTCGTTTCCAGACTTTTTCCGCGTTGAAGGGGTGCATGAATTCGACCGAGGAGCCTGCTACTATTGGTGCCACGATTGCGTTTACCACGCCGTGGATGTGGTGGAGGGGAAGCAAGTGAAGCAGCCGGTCATCCGACGTGTACTTCCATGCTTCTAGTAGTGAAGATGCTTGCGCGGCCACTGCCGAGTGGGGGATGAGAACACCTTTCTGTTTCGAGTTAGCTAGCTCATTGGGTGCAGGAACTAACTGAGCCTACCGGTCGGTTCGTTGTCCCAGATGTATACAACATCAACCCACCGGACGAAGGCTGCTTCAAATCTTGTAGGGTTACAGCTTCGCTGCTCGAGGCGCCCTCTGTGAGCTTACGGCGGATAGAGAACACAGGCTCGTGCTCCAATCCCTTGTCCACGACTTCCAGGCCTTTATTGGCATATTTTTGAGTTGTCAACAGCATCTTAGCCTGTGAATTGTCCAGGATATACTTCAGCTCCGCAACCGGGAAAGCCGGCGAGAGCGGGAGCGCAATGGCATCACTAGCAAAGATCGCCAGCATCATCACTGTAAGCTTATTAGGATTCTACGTATATTCTTCAACGGGATTCAAGGCAGCAAGTACCGACGTAATCATAGCTGCTCTCCGCGATGAAGGCGATCCGCTCGCCAGCCAATTGGCCCTGGGCCTTTTGTTCCAGGTCCTCCTTAGCGAGGACGGTGTCGGCAATTAGATTACCGTAGGTGAATGATCGGGCAGAGATGCTATGCACAACAGCCGGGCTTTCAGGGTCATGGCTCTGGAGTGCGCGGAAGATATGTGTGTTGGGAAGAGTCGACAAGAGTCTGGCGCTGAGAGGCAACCGCCGCGGAGTGAAGCAGACGCGCGCATTCGTACGCGAAAGCAGGGAGAGTAAACCAGACATTTTGAAATTTGAGATTTTGATCTTTAATTAATAGTAGAAACCCATTGAATAAGAAGAAGCAATTGAGGTGTCTCGAGCAAAAGACAAGCTGATGTCATGACAGTGACGTTCCGAAATCGAAAACATATGATTGGCTTCAATTGCGGACATCTCTCTCATCCTCCTCCCTTTGATCACTTCTTCTTTTCCTCTAAATGCTTCCTCGCAGCCTTCCGGGTCTGCTCCCTCGCCGTCTCTTCACTGTATCTGCAAGAATGGCCTCCAACACGCCGCTGGAGGATGTCATGCGCGATAAGGTGAGCCACTCCTCCGTGTTGTTGACTGTTGTTGACTGCGATTGCTAACGTCTCCCCCCTTTTTATAGATCACTCACGCATTCACACCTTCGAAACTCGTGATCCGGAATGACTCTCACCTCCATGCGCACCACGCTGCAATGGAAGGGTCGGTATCGAAAGAGACGCATTTCAAGTGCGTTCCCCACATCCGACCATACACGGCGCATGAGTCAATGTCTAATATCTCTCAGTGTGACAATTGTCTCTGATTCCTTCGAGTCGAAGATGCAGCCCGCTCGGCACCGTATGGTCTATTCGTTGTTCAAGGAAGAGATGGCTCGCGAGGGCGGACTACATGCACTGCAGTTGAAGACGAAGACACCCGCTGAGGAGCAGCGCGAGATGGAGAGGAAGGAAAAGGCATAGATCGCGGACTGATTGGGCGTTCAGGTGCTCGTTATTTTGAAAGAGCGTGTCGAGTCGGATACCCCCAAACGATGACTCGGAATGCATTACATTACACTGCACAAACCTAGGATTCCAGGACTTTTTAACTACGGGGTTATATCTACGGCGTGATAGATCAAACTCATGCGCGAAGGAATCAATTATTAGACAGTATTACATAGGTTCTAGCACCAAACAGGGGGCGGAGGAAAGCAACAATCTAGTATATACATCCATGCGCCGCGACATCACGAGCCCCGAAGTAACGACAATCATCAAGGGCCATCGCGTGTTAGACGCGGAGCAGCTGTACACGAACACGCAGGTACAGACAGCTAGGAGGCAAAGACACAAAGAAAGAGGGGTTGAAAGACATTGCTTTTACACAAGAAGGAAATGCGAAGGGGTGGTATAACGAGAGAACAAAGACAAATGGGAAGATGCGGAGAAGATCCCGGGACAGGTCGTACATGGACAAGGTAGGAAAATGATGCAGTGCAGCAGACAAATCACTATTTCCCGCTACTTGCTCTTGTTGTTTTCGGTGACACCGACGGCCACACCGACGACGATACCAATAATAATGACTGGAAAGTAGGTTAGCGGGTCGGTCAGATCTTGGTATGACAGGTAATACTTACGGATGATAATCAGCGCATACCACTTCCAGCGCCGAGCGTTCTTTGCGCTCTGGATAGCGCTGTCAAGCTTGGTGTTGGCCTGCTCGACATTGCGGTGTGTCTCCTCAGCTCCCTGCTGAATTTGCTGGACTGCAGGCTCCTGTTGGTGTACTAGCTCGGCGACCTCATTGTACAGGTGGCTGAGTTCGATCAGATCCTGCTCGATTTTTCGGATAGCGGCGGAGCGCTGCATAGTAGCCTGACGGGCATCGTTGGCCTGGCGGGTGCGAGTACCGGGAACCTATTCCTCCAATATTAGCAACCGACCTGACCCGTAAAAGATAAAATTCGGGCGAAACATACAACAAAACTCTGCTCCTGTCCCAGCAGGACATTCTGCACACCCTGTTCTAACTCCTCGGGGGTAGCCTCGGGATTGGCAATCTCGTATCGGCGGCGCACTTGCTCCTCCAGGCGCTTCTGGAAGTCGCTCTGCGTGCGCTGGTACTGCTCAATCTCCCGACGCAAGTTGCGGCTGACGTTCTCGACCTGGCCCTGTACGCGCGCATCGCCGGATCCCGGGGTCTCCTTGATGCGCTTGAATTGATCGCGCAGGTATCGCAACGCAGTATTGATCTCATCCTCAATGTAATCGAGCGTTTGGCGCGAAGCCTGGTCTTCCTTGCCGGTGCTTGAGTCCAGAAGGGCCTTTTGGGCGGCGACCAATTGGGACTCGCGCTTCTTGGTCAACTCGGTAATACCCTCGTTCAGTTCCTTGCACTTGTTCAGAATCGCCGTTGGGCCACCAGATGAGGCTTGATTGATGTTGGACATCTCTGTTGAGGAATTAGACTCGTCGCAAAGAGGTCGATTATCGGGTCAGCATACCATAGCCACCATTTCCCTGTTCCGCGGCGCCAGCCTGGTCATAACCACCACCATATCCATAGCTTTGTTCTTCCTGGCCCCCATAGGGATTGGTCTGTTGCTGACTTCCGTATGGGTTGTACTGGCCATAGCCGCCTGAGGTGTCCCCTAAGCTCTGGTACTAGGGGAAGTCGGGTCAGAAAGCAAACTCAAGCAATCAATGGGGTACACATTGGTTCACTCACACTCATGATGTGCAGATTCTCAGGTTCTCAGATCTGGGGAACAAAACAATAATAGTAGGGGGAGGGGGGAGATGTAGGAGGGAAGGGTGAGACGGGGAGAAGTGGAAATTACGGCAGAAGGGCTGGCGGTGTCAGCGCAGCAAAGCCAATAAGATCCGGGGGTTAGTCGCGCTGAATAGCAGAATTAAGCATTAATTTGGGGTGAATTAAAAGGGATCAATGGGTTTAACGGGGTTCGACGGTTTCAAGGGTTTCATAGGCCTTCGCATTTACAGTGGTTTCTTTGGGGTCCCCCTATTTTTAACCGTCTGCTACAGAGTGGACAGTGCACCGTTCCTACGTTAGTACGGATACAGCCTCCTTGCAATTTGGCGGTGGAGTCCCCGAGATTGGCCTTTGATCCTGTGTGGCTGAGCCTGTTCTATTTAAGACATGGCAGATCCGTGTGATTCGATGAAGGGGGAGAGCGGCATATTTTTTCATCAAGTACTGGATACTTGGCTTTGGTTGTAATCTCCACTCTGGATGATGTACCTGGTACGTGTCCCACGGTCTGTGGCAAGGGAGTCTGCACGTCATGATTATGATGTACCGCCTTGATGAAAGACATATGTATGCAACGCGGACTATTCCAATAGGAAAACAATCCAGTCTGGGCGACAAGTCGGAAATAGCATGCGTAGGGACAAGACGAACTGAAAAAATGGATGTGAAACTTGGCCAATCAGGGCATTTAGAAGGTTCGATGAGCCTCATGTCAGGCATCAACTAAATCTCGTTTAGCAAAGTCAAAGTATAGCTGCCTGATCTATACAGCATATGGTTACTCCGTATAAGGGCTATAGTACGGAGAAGTGGCTATGTGGTTGCCCAATGCGGTAACCCAGTCTATTCTTCTTTCGGCCTAAGAAATTTCCGTCTCCTTTTCACCTCCCCAACACTCACTTTCCTCACCCCGGACTAACCGTTAGTCTTTTGAATATTGTATCATCCTTCTTAGGTGTCACCCGACATATCTGCCATGATATCGAACGATTCCCAGGTCTCGCCCCTCATGCATCTGCGGCATGTAAGCCTCGGGTATTCTTAGCCACAGAGTTCACCTAATGGTTGTTGGATTTAGGCACTTGACCTCCAGGGCTGTGCTCCCGAGGCAGTTGAGCCTCTGAAGTCAGGGAGTGTGGGTCTCATATGTGGATCTACCTCGGTAGGCCATTCCATTCCAAGGTTACCTTGTGGATGTCTAGAAATCCCTTCAATGCCACAAACTAGCATATTGTCTCGATCTGGTGGATTCGATACACATACAGGATGAGGACACCACAATAATGCCCGGAATCTGAACTGGAGGCCAGACGTTGGGAGGCTAAGAGAAGCATGAAAAAGAGGCTGTATGTTCTGTCATATAGCTTGGTACTAACAGCTATAGTCTTTCGTTTCAAAGCTGAACCATCTCTGCCGTCGATATGGAAGAGCTTGAATGCTCTAGAATGCTTTGCATTTTAGGAGAAGCCACGGAATTCGGCCAATGGCCAAGGAATAGGAATGCGAGGCCATTGTCATCTGGCGTTGTGCAAAGGTGGGCATATGAAGCGTAGATCAACTTCAAAAGAGACGTTCCGAAAAATGAGTATGTCCAAATGCTCAAGATCTGAGAGCAATGAAAGTCGAGGGTCATCCCAGCCTTGCAAATCTGATGTCTTGTTTTTGACTGAGGAACATCACATATCCAAACTAAAGAGAAACCGCTCTGGCATGAGCTTGGACTTCCGATTTGGGTGGTTTGGATAAGCTCTTACCCGAATCACTTTAACAGTGCGAGCAGACCCTTGAAAGATATTTGAATCGGTGTGTCGCAGAAAGGAGCGGAGAAGATCATCAAAGAGATGGAGTCGAATCCACTTCTATACGGAGTAGTCTGTACGGAGTAGTGTGTCTGTCATATTCGTCATTGTGGAGGTCTGTCCCACGACCATGGAGTTTGGAAGTACGGTGAAGATAGATGGAGTGAATTCGTAAGTATACTGATTATTTTCATTTTTAACAAGTATATACTAAATTAATGCATCATATCATACCACGTCTCACAATCTGCACAGCAGTTTTAGAACACACAGAGGGTCCCGCTCCGATGATGCAAGCAATGAAAAAAAAAGTACGATCCCAGCGTAAGAGATAAGAGACACTTGCAATGCTGCCAATGCCAATGCCAAAGAAACAAGAAAAATACAAATATATCACAAAAAATACACTGCCAATGCCTACTCGGCCTTGGACTGGCTCCGTGCCGCCTCAACCGGAGCCTCGGGCATCTCTTCTTCGGCATCGAGGGCGTTCAGGTCGTCTTCCTGCGCATTCAGGTGGTGGAACACGGCGAAGAAGATGATACCGCATATGCAGGATGCACAGGCAAGACCGGTGAACATCCACATGACGGCGGGATCGAAGGCGGCGGGAGTAAGTGCTTCGGCGAGAGCGGAGCCGAACGCGTTCGTGAGGAGGTACATGGACTGCACGAAGGACTTCATGCTGGGCGGTGCCTTGGTGTATGCGTACTCGAGACCGGAGACAGAGGCGAAAATCTCAGACAGACCGATGAAGACGTAGGCCGGGGTTTGGATGGCGATGTGAACTCGGTTGCCTTGGGCTTCTCCGTTGACCTCGGAGGCCGCGCACAAAGGTTTGCCGTAGCATGGACCGGCGTCGTAGATCAGGTGCTGCACGATAGCGGCGTACATCATAGCAAGCGAGGCGACGACGAAGCCAAGGGCGATACGGGTGATCGGGCGGAAGGGGATCTTCAAACGGCGCATCAGGGGGTAGACGCAGGTTTCGAGAATGGGAATGAAAACGATGATGGAGATGGGGTCGAAGTTCTGCATCAGATCGTTGGGAATGCCGTGGCCATCCATTTGACCGGCTTGGGTGACGAAGTTGCCGGAGAATTGTCCGTAGACGACCCAGTAGATCGGGTAGAAGGCGAACACGCGGCAGGCGACCAAGGCGCGCTTCAGCTCGTCGATGAAGTGGTCGTCCCAGTGGACAGAGGACTCACCATTGTGTTCGGTCTGCCATGAGGGCTTGGGGGCATCCATGTTGCGGTTCTTCATCATCATCCAGACGGCACGGAAAGCATCCGTGATGATGGAGCCCTGGGGTGGGCGAACGACGTAGAACTTGCGGCCGAGAATGATCACCAGGGTACCGACCATGAACATACAGAGACAGAGAAGATAGGCTGGCCAGAAGTCGATGTACAACTCCATGTAGGGAGTAGCGAGCAGGGACAGCGAACCGAGGTTGATGCATCCGTAGAAGATCATGTAGATACGCTGAATTGTCAGGGCGGGGTCGATGACGACGCGCTCGCCCTTCTTGGTGGTGGTAATGGCCATCTTCTTGCGCTTGTACTGATCCGCAATCAAAGGAGCCACATTACTCTTGATTCCACCGGTACCCAGACCAATGATCAAGATGGCGACAATGAAACCGCCGATGCCTGAGCCGTGGTCCAGGGCAGTGGGAATGGAGGTGCAGACCAGGATGAGCAGGCCAATCATGTAGACAAAACAGAACAGCACAATGGTCTTGTACTTGCCAAGATACTGATCGGCAATGATGGCACCGACGATCGGGGTAACATAACACCAGAACTGGAAGAAGGTAGTGAGACCGGTTGCACCCTGGTGAGCCATACCGAGCGCACCACGTCCTTCGCTACCATCCCGAGGCCGCTGAACGTAGTTCTGGAACAGACCAGACATGCCGTAGTAGGTGAAACGCTCGCACAGCTCGACGACGGCCACCAACCAGGCGGAGAGAGGCAGGTTCTCTGCGACATGGCGCAAGGAAATCTTCTCCGAGAGTGTGGGTTCGCCGCCATCCGGGGTAGTCTGGTTTTCCTTGTCGAACTCGGCATCCATAGCCTTTTCATTCAGGACGACATGGTGGGTGACCTCTTCGGTGTCATAGGGTGGAGCTCTGAAGAGAGGGTTAGTTGCCCTTCATGAAATTGCCAGACACACAGATACATACGCAGAAGTCTCCATCTCACGGTCTGTGGACGACATGGCTACGAGACCAGATGATGCCTTCTCTTTCAAGAGGGCCTAGAAAAAAATCACAATCGGGAGTAGAGAAAGAGGCACAAAAAAAGGGCGTGATTAATACTATATATGCGATTTTGGTGCACTCGACAAATGAGGCCAAGTGGGACCGGAGGAGAGTCTTATCTCGAGAAAAGCAGGAAAAAGAAGAAAAAAGCAAATTGCACGCCATCCCCCATGCCCCCATGCCACTAAGGCTCATCTGAGAAGGTCGCATACGGGCCATTGTTCGCAGTTCGACCGTGGATGCGATCGGCATGTTTATCGTCCCACGGCGAATGGCTGAACTAGAGCAAGTCGACCCACGAGCATGCGAATGTAACCACACGGCAGAGACAGTGCACACGGAAACGAACAAGTCAAGCAATTAAAGGCCGAGCATAGGGTGGACTCTTGATTCAGGTTCGGATCAATCAGAGCAGCGAATGGTCTGGTCTTGCATTTGGCATCCTGGGGATTTCTAGAAGGGGTGAGGCCGAGTCCACTTTGTGTATTTTTTTCATCGAATCACGTTGAGATGTGCAGTCGGAGATTGCCGATGAGGTTGAAAATTTCCCAGTTGAGAACGGTTCCGGGATTTGCCACGAGGGCAAATTCTGGGATTTGTTTTCGCCTTCCCAATGCCATCAAACCGACAAATCAGTAAGGATATATTTGGAAATCCGATGGCGACTGCTAATATTGAACTGCATGGGCTGCATATTGGCAAGGCTTGAGTGCCTTCGACTCAGGACGGAAAACACATCCGCTTTCGGGATATGCGATGTCGAGCGCGGATTTCCTGATTGCGAGATCAATAAATCGCATTAATCACAATCACCAGATGATTGCCAATGTAACGTTGGGGCCTTTTTCCCCCTTCCCGTGGAGTTTCGTATGTCTCAAAGCTTCATACCCGCTTACCCCGGCATGCGTTTCCCCGTCAAGACAGCAATAGCCAATGCCGTTGAATACATTCCCAGCGAGGAGAGAAACCAGAACCCGCCGTTCCTATCATTCGGTCTGGTCTGGTCTGGTGTGGTCTCTGTTTTCCGGGGTAATTATTCTCTCGTAAGAGTTGCGTAGAAACATTGAAGGATGGTGGATCTGTGGTTTGTGCCCGGTGACTTGCCAAGACCTCAGCAGATAAGGGGGAAGATTTCAGTAAGTGTTGGTCATTCGTATGTGTGGTCTTCCTTGGAGGAATAGAGGTCATCTCATCATATGGACATTTTTTTGGAGGGAAAGGAAGGAAAAGAGAAAAGAGAGAGAATCAAAGACCACAACTGGGACATCGCTCATAATATAACACCAAGAAAACACCAAGAGTTATAGCACATGCTCTTTGGGCTCCGACTTCGCTTGCGGACAAAGATGAGCTTCATATCCACCAACAGGAGGGCTTATCACGACCATTCGGCATAATCTCCCAAGCCCTGGGGGATTCTAGCCGTTCGCCAAGCGACCAACGCCTTAAGAGAGAGTTCCACCAAGACCCAACCTATTGGCAATCCCGACACCGGCACGAATGCCTTTATAAATTCTGTTAACCTCAGTCTCGAAAGATTCTATGCGGTTGCTCGAGTTTATCGTCTGGACATTTATATCGTCTGGATGGCCACTCGACAGGGTTGAGTTGCGTGCTCTCCCAGTGGCGCACGCTTACTTGCCAAGCCCAAGTCGCTAAAGGGCTTTATCGCAATCCTCCACGCCCTATCTGATACCGTTGCGACCTTCCGATCGAACTATCTTAGACATGAGAACACCCCGACAACTTGCGATGTCGGCCCTCGACCAAGACCAGGGCTCTACGGAGTACGGAGGACCTACTCCGGGAACTTTGATATTGCGACACCACCAGCCACTCAGAGCATCTCAGTGGATCTCCATGACTTGCTGGATTGTATCCATATAGTGCTGGCCTCAGGGAACTATATTTGTGTTGAGAATATCCATGAATCGAAGAAATATGAAGGTCGTATCTTGAGGTACGGAGTACTGTTTCTGGGTATTCCTGCTAGGGGATTCTACTAACCCCAGCAGGAACTTGCAAGGAAATGTATCAATAAAGAACATTGTGCTGATCATGGATTTTTCGGAAGCAGCTTGCTTACCTCTATAAATAACTTTTTCCTATTGGCTAGCCTATACGAGGTGATATTCTGCTAGCAATGAGACGCGTTCTCTGCCCTGGTGTTCGACTCTACTGTAAGTTCGGATAAGGAAGGAAACAAAGCAGGCAACTTACTAGCATCTTTACCATTTCACTGTCCTTAAATGGCTGATAGTAACAGGAGTTTATAGTGTTAATGGATAGAACATCCATCTCCACGACATGAGGTCAATCCCTAGTCTAGATCCACAGCCATATATTAGACTCTAAGATACGGAATATACACCACAATCTGAATAGTCAGTTATTCTCCCTTCCAACATAACTTTGAAGGCACTTTTTCTCTCTTCTTCGGCCCCGGATACTGAGCCAGGACATATCCCATACTCCAGACTCTCAATCGTGGGATCATTCTAGTTGCAATTCCCACTAGTACTATTGGTTCCTTTTGCAAATGCACCCTAATCCCGCATGTAGATCCTCGGCCCGATGCCCAGTTCACTCAGTCGTTAACGGTTCGGTCATTTCAATAGGTATTCTGTACGTTTCTTGGTTAATAATACCAGAGCTAACTTCTAAGCCTTACTAGCTAATAAAGATAGTATTCACTCACTACTATAGTCTATAGATATAAATTATAATCTATGAGAGAAAACTAATTCTGTATCCACCTATCCGCGTCGCGTTGTGTCGCGTTGTGTCGCGTCGCGTCGCGAGATAACCGCATCTTTACTATTCATCAGTCTATTCTTACTCCTTTCTTCACTCGTACAGTCGCACTATCACCATGAACTCAATTGGGGAATTCTTTACCTATAACCCCACTTATCAGTTCTGGATCTGCAAGACCTGTGAATATGCCGTGGATGCTAAAACCATTGTCGGCCATCTAACCAATAAGCACCGACAACACCCTTCTGCCCGTACATTGGCACAGCGGACGGCAATTTGTGCTGAAGCCGTCAACGTTGGAAGGAACTTCAATACCAATCCTTTTGTCCCGCCATCCCCTGACTCCCGGCCGATCCCCGGATTACCGGTCTACCGTGGTAACTGCTGTCAAGTCGAAAACTGTCAATTTACGTGTCGCAGCGTAAGAACGATGCAAAAACATCGCAGGCAGGTTCATCACATCTCTATCGCTGCCGCTGCCAGCGGAAGGCCAAGAATCAAGCGGGAAGAAGACTCATCAATAAACCCGAACGGTCACCCTGTGTACTGCCAGCGATTAACTCCAAGTGGGAACTTCAGTTCCTTCTTTATCGTTACGCCAGATCCAGCAGAGGTTATGCCAGATCCAGCAGAGGTTATGCCAGATCCAGCAGAGGTTCCGCCAGATCCAGCAGAGGTTCCGCCAGATCCAGCAGAGCTATTAAGCGTCCAGATACAAGAGGGTGGTGCCGAAGACCGGAGTTGTCGCAAGGGCAAGGAGCGAGCTGTTGCTCCATCTGACGATAGCGATGATAGCGGTGCTGACCCTGACGACGGCGAAGAGCACCTTCCGGAGACGCCTCGGGAATCCGTGCAGAAACGTGCGGCTCCTGCGACTCCCGTGGCGGCAGGCAAGCCGTCGAAAAAGCCGAAGAAGTCGGCGAGTGGAAAAGAGGTTCCGATTCCTCCTTCTGGAGAGTGGGCAAAGCCTCGTTCTGGACCGGAGTATGACGCTTCGATATACCAGACTCCTCTCGACTGGCCCATGGTGTACAAACTGAACGATGAGGAGTGTGCACTGGATGTCTTCGAGCGGCTTCGGTCTGTGCGTCGTCGTGTGAATGACGACCATAGGCGTATGCGTGCCGGGATGATCGCTCGCGGCTGGTGGGCTCCGTCTAACGACACCGACGCCGAAAGCAGTGATGATGAGGATGCTGATTCCGTGGATTTCCTGAACACCCTGGTCTGATGGGTGCGGGATCTTTCTGGGTTTCTGTATGGGCCGATTGCCCTTCTCGTTTGTTTTATGATGTCCTGTCCCTTCTAGGCAGGTCCTTCCGCTCCCATAAGGAGTGGGTAATGCGATTCCGGTAGATTCATCAATTTTGCGCATTCATGCGTTGTTGAATCTTCTTGGAGCAAGTGAGAGAGATGAAGGATAGATTCTCTACAGTGATCGAGGTCTAGCTAGTTAGCTAGTTGCGCTGGCAACGTCTCGGTCGCATAAGACGATGACGACTTCTTTCCAGTTGTTTAGAGAGCTTCAGCCCTCTCCAACTAGCCATATAGGTTGTCGAAGTAGTAACAGTCTACGAGGTTAGTTGTCTTAGCCAGTAGACCTTCATGGTTTATCAGCCAGGGGGTCCACTCGGGACCTTTAATGCCACTGAGCGAGTCGAGACACTTTTCGATCTCGGAGATGCGATCCCATGACAGTTCACAGTTCTTTCGCAGTAGGGTATTGTTATCCCAGATGGTTCGGAAGCTGGATATCATGCTAGTCCAGTCTATTAGTCTGATGATTTATCTACTCCACACTCTCAAAGACCAATTGTCCATCTCCCCTCCTTCTCTTTGCTACCATTGTTATTCATCGCCTATAGGACCTCCCAGCGTTTGGTGGATAACCTCTTGAGAGGGTAACAACCTATAGCGAGATAATATGTAGAAATTGAATCAGGATATACCTATAATCCCTATAGAGAGCCAATTGCCTGTCTTGAATGTCACAAGTATACAGCCTCGTCGCTCAAAAAAGACTTGGATCGCATCATAGTTGAGTGACAAATTTTTAGATAAGTATAGGATTTACACAAGGATATAATGTGTTCTGCCTTGTGTTCTGCCTTGTGTTCTGCTTTGTAACCATCTTCTACTATCTGACAAATGGTTGATTTTAGTTCAAGCTGCCCGAGCAATCTTTCACTACATGCAATCTTTGGCCTTCTTCAACAGCCTACTTTGTGGTGGCCTTTGCCATTGAAAACAATATTGTCCCTTTTCCAGTGCAACCTGTCTCGAACGCCCACCCGTCTGCCAAATAACTTCCCCTTCCTTTGTCCAACCCATCTCAAAGGGCACGCTATAGTCTGGAGGGGTTGGGAGACTCGGCCAAGTAAGCCGCTTAGGTGCATTGAGATATCGTTCCATGGCTCGGTCGGTTCTCGTTGCTACCCATTCATTCAGAAACTTGCGGAACTTTGACACGTCGGAGTCTAGTTGGCGGTGACAAGTCCATTCAATAGTCTGCACCATATCTATGTTTCGATCCCAGTAAGGAATGCTCGTAAAATGTGTGTCGTTTGTGATGATTTCGTAAAGTGTGAACACAACACTAGACACATCGTCTCGACCATCTAGTATGTAATCCTCTCTATTGGCGGCCCAATCAAAATCGAAGAGAAGAAGCTTGTCTGTTTCGGGGTCGACAAGCAAATTTCGAGGCGCAATATCTTGATGCATGATCCCTAATTCTAGGTTCAGGAAATCCACCACTTGGGTAAGTTGTTCTAGCCATTCAAATCGGAAAGGCCTTTTCGGGTCGGCATTTGCTAGCGATCCACCTGGGATGTACTTTGTTGCGAATCCAATCACTCGAGACTCAACGTCTTCGAGAACGACGCGATCGAACGGTACTATATTGGGATGTGGTGGCAGTTTGCTGACCAGGTGGATCTCCTTCCACGACATTTCTAGTCTTCGAGGCATGCCCAAGGGATTGAATTTGAATGCGACCTTCTGACCATCGTACGATGAGAGATCGACGCCTGGTCCAAGCCGATCGAGCTCTTGAAGTTGAGAGAAGTAGACTGTAGAGCAATCTGCGAGTGACGGACAGAGCGAGAAGGGAATATATCCAATAAAGACTGTAGCATCCTCTTCCGGATCTGTCGAGACTCCAGTAAGAAGCCCGTCATCGTCGACTGTGATTGCACTAACTTCCGGCGAAAGGTAATCGGCGAATTGCGCAAGAACTGGGTTCTCAACGTCTTCATCAGGTGGGAAGAGCTTAGCAGTTCCTTTGACTTTGATCATTCGTAGCTGATCCCAATCCCAGACGTTGCAGTGGGTTTCGGTTGTGGGTCTTTCCCGTGGGCCAAAATAGCCCTGGCCCCCTGAGTAAAACCTGTCTTCGGGTCTAATCATGACGAGGATATTAATGAGAAGATATTCGTGTGCTGGTATGTATGAGTCCCTCAACAGTGTCCTGCGAGAGGATCGTGTAAATGCGGTGTAAATCCGCAGAACATGGTCGAAGCCCTGCACCCCTGAGCATCCCTGCAGCATACAACATAGTACTAAAGTGTCTTTGGCCATGCATTCCAAGAAGTGCGATTAGAAGCCCTAAAAGACCTTCGACTCGCGACGCTGGTCAGATGAGACAAGAAACAAAGACCTGCGCGACGAGGGCCAAACACTTACGCCGCTGCTAACTACATCTACTGATATAGACCTCTCAGCATGTGCCATCCAAAACCAGCAGCTCTACTCAAGGGCTTGATCTCGCGAAACCCGACCTAGCACGCAACACCAAAAGTTGAATGCATCCATGAACAGGTCATATTTGTATAGAATAATGTAGGGAAAATACCATAATACTGGCACGACCTCGACCTTAATCATGGCATAAGCCTCGTAAAATGTGTTTGGTAGAGTAAGATACAAGTCGCAAGCAATCAGTTCGTCCCTGCAGAACTATGCAGCGGGGCCGGCATAAAGGGGGGGACCTCGGTCCCTATGTGAATCATCCCCAGTTTCCAGCACCGCACATCGAGTCGAGTCAATTCCCCTCGATTCGTGTCGTCCGTAATCGTGAAATCTGCGCATCGCCATCCGTCCCCTGTTTTTCGTTTTTCATCCTCGTCTGCACAACACCGTCTCAGCCAGCTCCCTTAAACGGTGTACTTGGCCTTCGCGCGCGTGCTGCCGCTGTGTGCACTGTCGGTGTGGCCGGAGAACTCCACCACATCCGCCAAGTTGAGCCGCAGCACGTCCTTGAACCGCTGGCCAATTGCTTCGAGAATCTCCTTGCCCTGCGCCTGTGTGCGGGTGTGCTTATCTCCCTGGATGCTCTTGCCGACTGTGCGTGTCCATAGACCGACACGGTAGAAGCCCTTGCGCACATTCACAACTACTCCCATCACTTCGTTGTCATCGTCATTCTCGAGGGTCTCGCCGATCGCGGCCAGCTGCGCGTGCAGCCAGAGTTCGTCAATAGGAACGGAGCGCTTGTCCTTGAACTGGTATGACCACTTTCCACCGTGCTTGTTTTGGGGGTCCTCCCACTCGGGTCGTACGCCCTTCTTGAAGAGGTGGTAATCGGCCTTGAGGCCAAGTTCGGAGGTCGGCGTGATGTTGTTCTAATAGCGCTCGAGGTTAGTGTTATCGTCGATCGAGGGAGACGTCCGGTTGGACATACATAGATGCCCCAGAATTCTTCAACGGAGCTGAAAGTGACCACCTCCTTGAGCAGGTCGTTCCAGTTGTCGCCCTAGGTTCCATTGGTAAGCATGCTGACGTCGATATATCCGACTGGTGTCTCCTACTTTGCCACTGGGGGGCTTGGTGAACCACAGAGTCCATTCGTGCATAAGAGGGTGCTTCACGTTGAAGTCATCGGGGTTGTGGAAGACGGTAACGGCATCACCAGTCTGAGTCTCGGTGACAGGGGCGGAGTTCTCATCGGCCACAGCGGGAGTACCGTTTTCTGCGACGGCAGCCATGGTGAATGGATGTGGAGGGGAAGACGATCGAGTTCGGAAAGTCGGAGGGGCGAGAATTTCAAGGAAAGCGCAAATCAGAGCTTTTCACACAAAGAAGGTAAGAGGAATCCAAGCCTGGATCTATTTAGCAGTAATAGTCTGCTCCAGGCAGTGTGAGATGAGAGTGGAGGTGGGCGACAATTGACTGCAAAGAGTGGAAGTTTTGAAGTTCGAGCCACAAAAACTTGCCTTGCCTCTTTGGGTTCTTCCGTAACATAATCAATATCACACCCAACTAGTTATCCGATCTTCACTTTGCTCTTATTTTGTCTTCAAATCATTTTGATTGATTTGTGATTCATTTGAATATTTTGATTCTCATTTATACTGTCCAGGATTCTACATGGCCGAAAATTGAAGAATAAAATTCCCGAACACGATGCCTAAAGACCGAATAACCCAACCAAAAATCCTTCGTATTGGAGCGCCGACGTGAAAAGCAGAAAGCCGACAATAAAAAAATCAAGGGTATCTCAAATTATGCCTCGGAATTATAATTCCTCCCCGCTGTTCATCAAGCTAAGGAGGCAGTTCCACCCTGTTTAGTTGTTAGTGACTGCAGCCAGGAGCATAATCAGCAACACCTCGAAGCAAATTACTCACCCAAACTGACAACGTTGACAAAGAGCAAGCGCAGCTCTAGCGGAATAAATGTGAAGTTGACGCCCTGTACAAATGGCCAGACCATCAGGTTGGCCTTGTAGGCGGGAACAAAGGCAGTCTTCAACCTTTCCACAGGATCAGCGCCTTCCATGATAGCCATCGAGGATAGGAAACATGTGAGCTGGGTGGGGGCAAAGAAGACTTGGTCGGCGGCAACACGAGCGGCGGTGGTGGACGCAGTGCCTTTGAGAACGACATGACGCTGGAGGATGCCAAACCAGGTAGTGGCAACCGGACCGAAGACAGCTGAAAAGGCACGGATCAGCAATGTACAAGACACTTGAGACATATAGACATACCTCCACCGTATAGAGCCATTCGCCCAGTACGAGCGAAGTCGTGCTCTTGGAGACCTTTTCGGTCAACAGCTTGTTGTGCTAGAACATCCCCGCTACCGAATAGGAACTGTTGTAACAAGAGTCAGGAGCTGGCTCAGGGGAAGGAGAAAGGAGAGAATCATACAGCACTGGTGATGCTTGCGGTGAGGATAGGCCGCTTTGCCAACTTAGACTGGTACCTGGTTGAATGTTATGAGCTGCGATTGAAGGAGATGAGTAAGAGAGACTTACCAGCGTAGCATAACTGCGATTGGATGGCTATAAGGAACAAAACAAGCAGAGAAGGATGCAAAAAAAGAACAAAAAGCAGACGAAAGATGCTGAAATACTATTGAACTGGGGGCAACTGGGGGAACAATCTTGAAATTGCGGAGTCCCTGTCGCATTGCCCAAATAGGAAATGCATCCGCCTGCACCAAATTTTGTGACGTAGCAGTGAGAATAACAACATTGCGGGACTCGATTGGTATGAAAAACACGATATATTTCTAAATATTGCTATAGCCAATGACCTCAGCATCACTATTAAACCAATCTATCCCTCATTCTACATGATCAATGCCTCTCTACAACAACGGCGATCAATCCATTTACTTCTGGGCCCCGTCAGGTGACACCGCCCTGGAAACCTTAAGTGCACGTGCCACATTCCCGATCGGGAGTTTAGGGCATAGGGTCCCCACTAGGGCTGCCCGCTCGCTTAGCCCACCCGCGCAAATTTCGGGCAAACAGTGCTCAGCGCCGTGAAACTCGACGACCAACTCAATCCCGACAACCCTCCCCGTCGCTTCCCATAACAACATCAATATGGCTGACGCTGCTCCCCGTGGACGTGGTGGTTTCGGTTCGCGCGGCGACCGTGGTGGTGAGCGTGGACGTGGCCGTGGTGGCCGTCGCGGCCGTCGTGGCCCCAAGCAGGAGGAGAAGGAGTGGCAGCCCGTCACCAAGCTCGGCCGTCTCGTCAAGGCCGGCAAGATCACCTCCATGGAGCAGATCTACCTCCACTCTCTGCCCGTCAAGGAGTACCAGATTGTCGACTTCTTCCTGCCCAAGCTCAAGGATGAGGTTATGAAGGTACGGATCGACACACACTTTTTGAAATTGGAGGATTGAGCGGGACTCGACTGGAATGCGACAATTGCACGCAATTGCGCAATGAAAGCTGAAACGGAAAACGAATACATCGAAATCAGTCCAGAAACTAACGTGAATTTCAACCTACAGATCAAGCCCGTCCAGAAGCAGACCCGTGCCGGTCAGCGTACCCGTTTCAAGGCCATTGTCCTCATCGGTGACTCCGAGGGCCACATTGGTCTCGGAATCAAGACCTCCAAGGAAGTCGCTACCGCCATCCGTGCTGCTATCACCATCGCCAAGCTCGCTGTCCTCCCCGTCCGTCGCGGTTACTGGGGTACCAACCTTGGTGAGCCCCACTCTCTGCCCGTCAAGCAGAGTGGAAAGTGTGGTTCCGTCTCCGTCCGTGTAAGTTTCCTACAGTAGTTCATATCTGATCTGGTCCTTTTTGGGGGCCGGACATCTGAAGAGATGGTTTCTAATTGACTGCAGCTCATTCCCGCCCCCCGCGGTACCGGCCTTGTCGCTTCCCCCGCTGTCAAGCGTTTGCTCCAGCTCGCCGGTGTCCAGGACGCTTACACCTCCTCTTCCGGCTCCACCAAGACCCTCGAGAACACCCTCAAGGCCACCTTCGTCGCTGTCGTCAACACCTACGGTTTCCTTACCCCCAACCTGTGGGCTGAGAATAAGCTCATCCGCAGCCCTCTGGAGGAGTTCGGTGATGTCCTCCGCCAGGGCAAGAAGTACTAGGTTATGGATGATGCATGATTTTTGTTCGACAATTTCAATGGGTTTCTTTTAAAACTTCTCCCTCTGTGCTTGGTGATTAAAAGATGGTTCGTGTGTGCGAGAGACATCTCCGCACCGCTCTGGATGTATTTATCTTGGGGAGGGGCACAAAATAGCGAAGTCCACGGGCCATTTGCCAGCCAGATTGATCTTTGAGCAGTAATTTTGTAGTAGGGCAGTAGTTGTTTTTACCTGATAGACATTGATTCTGGGTGAACTAACTTGTAGTTCAAGTCTAAATCTTCGACATGCAGCCTCACAATGTCGCTATGGGACGTATAGAGAGGTCGCCCAGGCAGCTTTTATATGCAAACAAAGACTACTCTGGGGTCCAGGCTGTCTATCTGACACCGGCTAAGGGATACTATCGGTATTAAGTGATGTAGTATTGGACTATGTTGTATCTTTAGATTGAAGTAAAGGTCTCCACATGATAGTACATCTAAGATATATATAGGTACTACTTGACAGAAATCCAGGTATGACGAGCGTACGGGTAAAAATCAATAGCAGTAAATTC